AAGATGAAGCAGGTACTCCCAGATCGCAGCTCCTCCGGGTCGATCGCCTCCTGGATGGGCACGAACCCCTGCGGCTGGGGCGTTGTCTCGAAGAACTCGTCCCTCGACAACGGCGCCATGCCCTGACGGGAGAGACAAGGGAGGGGGGGCGGGGTTCCTCCTACTCTTCCTCCTCCTTCTCCTCCTCCTTTTCCTCTTCCTCCTCCTCCTCCTCTTCCCACTCCTCCTCCTCCCGCTCCTCCTCCTCCTCCTCCTCCTCCTCCTCCTCCTCCTCATCATCATCATCATCATCATCATCATCATCATCATCATCATCATCATCAGCAGCAGCAGCATCATCATCATCATCATCATCATCATCATCATCATCATCATCATCATCATCATCATTATCAGCATCATCATCATCATCATCATCATCGTCATCATCATCATCATCATCACCACCACCACCATCATCATCATCATCATCATCATCATCATCATCATAATCATCATCAGAATCATCATTATCATCATCAGCATCATCATCATCAGCATCATCATCCTATTCCTCCTCCTCGTCCTCGTCCTCGTCCTCCTCCTCCTCCTCCTCCTCCTCCTCCCCCTCCTCTTCTGGCAGCGTTGCGCACCACAAACCTGAGAACAACGCAAGCCAAAACAAGTGCCCGCGCCGCCGGCCGCCCCCCATCCTACCAGCATCTCTCACCCCCGTCCTCGCTTGCCTCTCCCTGCGCCTCTCCTCCCTGCCCCGTCTCCTGCCCTTCTCATGATGTGTGCTCTCTTTCATTATTAATTTCCTCCCCCTCCCCCTCCCCCCCCCCTCCCCCTCCCCCTCCCCCCCCCCCCCTCCCTTCCCTCCCCTCCCCTCCCCCCCCCTTGCCTCTGCGTATTGATTCATGCTTTTACGCTCACCCGCTGTGTGCACCTCGCCGGGGGGGAATGTCAGAGAGAGGCACGCATCTCAACGGCTCTTCACTCCTCGCACGCGTGCTGTACGTACACGCGAACGCGCTCCCTTAGGGGCAGCAAGATCGATCAGCCGCCCGAGGCGGTCGCACTTGAAACTGTTATGCGGTCCAGCTTCGGGAAAGGGGCCGTCCGAGGTGCGCAAATCCCCTCGGGAAGCCCGAGGGGAAAACTCTGTACACACAGGCTGTTTTGTGCAGAATTTCCCCCTCTCGCCCCCTTTTCTGTGCTCTTTGCTCGATCCCTTGCTGCGTTCCTCTGTCATCCTGTCCCGACTGGCTCTTCATCCATCTCTATGCATCCCTCTGGCCGTCCTCGCGCATCTTGTCTGTCCCTCCACCCCCCTGCGCCCGCGCGCCCGCATCCCTGCCATCCGTCTCCCCCTCTCGCGTTCGTCATCCGCGCGTATCACGTCCCCCCTCCCCGTCGCCTGCATCCCTGTCACCTGTCCATCTTGCAACTGGTATGCGCTCCAGCTTCGGGAAAGGGGCCGTCCGAGGTGCGCGAATCCCCTCGGAAAGCCCGAAGGGGAAACTCTGTACAGAAAGGCTGTTTTGTATAGAATTTCCCCCATCCTTTTTCTGTGCTCTTTGCTAGATTCCTAGCTGCACTCCTCTGTCCTCCTGTCTCGGCTTGGCTCTTCCTCCTTTTCTGTGTTTCCCTCCGGCCATCCTCACTCACCTTGTCTCCCCATCCACCCCTGCGCCCGCACCCCTGCCATCTGTCTCCACCTCTCGAGCGCTCGTCACTGTATCCCTGCCACCTTGCCGTTCTCCAGCGTTCGCCATCCGCGCGCTTCGTGTCCCTCTCCCCGTTCCCCGCATCCCTGTCACCTGTCCATCTTTACGTCGCTTGCAACTCGTGCCAGATCAATATCGGAGGTGGCTGCGCCATCAAATCCAAGCGCCTCCCTTGGATCTATATCCCATGTCCGGGCTTCAGGCCCACAGGATGAGTGCCTAACGATGCACCCATGGTTCGGAACCCATTTGTCAGTGGCTGCTCTTCAAAGCCCAGCCACCTGGGGACCTTCCACCCCTAAAGGAAGAGAATCGAAATATAATGCTCTTCCTCCTCCTCCTCCTCCTCGTCCTCCTCCCCCTCCTCCTCCTCCTCCTCCTCCTCCTCCTCCTCCTCCTCCTTCTCCTCCTCCTCCTCTTCCTCCTCCTCCGCCTCTTCCTCCTCCCCCTACTCCTCCTCCTCCTCCTCCACCTCCTCCTCCTCCTCATCTCCTCCTCCTCCTCCTCCCTCTCCTCCCCCTCCGCCTCCCTCCTCCTCCTCCTCCTCCTACTCCTCCTCCTCCCCTCCTCCCCCTCCGCCTCCTCCTCCTCCTCCTCCTCTCTCTCCTCCTCCTCCTCCCCTCCTTTCCTCCCTCCACCCTCCTCCTCCTCCTCCTCACTCCTCCTCTCCTCCCTCCTCCTCCGTCCTCCTCCTCCTTCTCTCCTCCTCTCTCCTCGTCTCCTCCTCCTGTCCTCCTCCTCCTCCTCCTGTCCCCTCCTCCTCCCCCTCCTCCTCCTCCTCCTCCTCCTCCTCCTCCTCCTCTCCTCCTCCTCCTCCTCCCACCTCATCCTCCCTCCTCCTCATTATTGGTTCCTTTCCTCCTCCTCCTCCCTCCTCCTCCTCCTCTCCCCTCCTCCTCCTCCTCCTCATCATCATATCATCAACATCATCACATCATCATCATCATCATCAGCATCCATCATCATCTCATCTTCATCCATCATCATCATCATCACATCATCATCATCATCATCAGCATCGCATCATCATCATCATCATAATCAATCATCATCATCATCAATCATCATCATCATCAGTCATCAATCATCATCTCATCATCATCGCATCATATCATCATCATCATCATCATCATCATCATCATCATCATCATCAAGCATCATCATCATCATCATCATCATCATCATCATCATCAATATCAATCATCATCATCATCGTCATCAGCAGCAGCAACATCATCAGCATCATCATCAGCAGCATCATCATCATCATCATCAGCAGCATCATCATCATCATCACCACAATCATAATCATCATCATCATCAGCAGCAGCATCAGCATCATAAGCATCAGCATCATCATTTCCACCAGCATCATCATCATCATCGTCATCATCATCGTCATCATCATCAGCATCAGCATCAGCATCAGCATCAGCATCATCATCATCATCATCATCATCATCATCCTCAGCATCAGCATAATAAGCCGCATCGTCACCATTAGCAGCATCAGCATCAGCATCATCAGCATCATAATCAGCAGCAGCATCAGCATCATCATCAGCATCAGCATCCGCATCATCATCATCATCAGCAGCAGCAGCAGCATCATCATCATCATCAGCATCATCCTCATCATCATCATCAGCATCATCAGCATCATCATCGTCATACTCATCAACATCAGCATCATCAACCGCATCATCAGCAGCATCATCATCGTCACCGTCAACTACAACAACAACAGCATCACCACCGTCCAGCCCCATCAGCATCAGCATCATCATCATCATCATCAGCGACATCAGCATCAGCATCAGCATCATCAACAGCATCATAATCAGCATCGTCATCATCATCATGGTCAGCATCATCAGCACAATCCGCATCATCGGCATCATCATGACCATCAGCATCGACATCGTCATCATCATCATCATCAGCAGCAGCATCATCATCATCATCATCATCGGCATCAGCATCAACATCACCATCTTCATCAACATCACCACCGCCATCATCAGCATCATCAGCAGCATCAACAGCAGCATCAGCATCGTCAGCATCATCAGCATCATCATCGTCGTCATCATCATCATCGGCATCACCATCAGCATCATCAGCATCATCAGCATCATCATCGTCAGCATGAGCATCACAATCATCATCATCAGCAGTATCAGCAGCATCAGCATAATCAGCCGCATCGTCACCATCGGCAGCATCAGCATCCGCAGCATCCGCAGCATCAGCAACAACATCAACAGCATCATCAGCATCGGCATCCACAGCATCATCATCATCATCATCATCATCAGCAGCAGCAGCAGCAACATCAGCAGCATCGTCATCGTCAGCATCATCATCAGCATCATCATCGAAATCACCAACCTCAACATCAGCATCATCATCCGCAGCAGCATCATCGTCGTCGACATCATCAGCATCATCATCAACACCATCAACAGCAGCATCAGCAGCCTAATCAGCAGCATCATCAGCATCCACATCAGCATCATCAGCATCAGCATCAGCATCCGCATCAGAATCGTCATCATCAGCATTAGCATCAGACTCTTCATCAGAGTCAACATCATCAGCATCATCATTCTCATCATCAGCATCATCAGCATCATCAGCATCATCAGCATCATCATCAGCACAAGCAGCATCGGCATCAGCATCAGCACCATCATCAGCGTCAGCATCCTCATAATCAGCATCAGCATGCGCATCATCAGCATCATCAGCATCATCCGTATCGACCTGCGTATCCTCATGCTCCTCATCCTCCTCCTCCTCCTCCTCATCCTCCTCTTCCTCCTCCTCCCCCTCCCCCTCCTCATCCTCCTCCTCCTCCGCCTCCGCATCCGCCTCCGCCCCCTCCTCCGCCTCCTCCTCCACCTCCTCCTCCTCCTCCTCCACATCCGCTTCCTCCTCCGCATCCTCCTCATCCTCCTCCGCCTCCGCATCCGCCTCCGCCTCCACCTCATCCTATGCCTCCTCCTTCTCATCTTCCTCCTCCTCCTCCTCCTCATCCTCCTCATCCTCCTCATCCTCCTCCTCCTCATCGTCATCCTGCTCTTCCCCCTCCTCCTCCACCACCACCACCACAACCATGTTCCTCCTCCTCCGCCCCATCCTCCTCCTCCTCCGCCTCCTCCTCCTCCTCATCATCCTTCGCTTCTTCCTCCTCGTCCTCCTCCTCCTCCTCTTCCTCCTCGCATTCCTCCTCCTCCTCATCCTCCTCATCCTCCTGCTCCCCCTCCTCCGCATCTCCATCCTAATCGTCATTCTCATCATTATCACCCTCGTTCGAGGGAGGGGGGGCTAGTATTCGAAATGCTGAGGTTCCCTCACGTTCTGCGGTCCAAGTTTCCAGACTATGCAGCAGTGACGAGGATGAGGCGCTCGCGCAACGTGTCTGGCCCGACCGTTGAAGATACGCAACAGCTACACGGATGGAGGGCAGAGCCCCCATCAAGACGGCGCGATCGCTGTTCGGTTACCACTTCCCTGGATGATCTCAGCCCCCCTAGTTGCACTTAGAAGGACGGAGGGTGGATGTTGTACAACACAGGGATCTCGCATGAGCGACGGGCCCACATGGCGCTCGTCAATCAAGGGGTGCCGTTCCCGCAGTGGAAAGGAATACGTGCAGGGGCGTCGAGGACGAGACTTGGGAAGGGAGGGCGCATTACATAATCATTGGTTCATTCTGGGTTTGGTCTGGCCCTCCTGCTCATCCTCGTCGTCGTGTGTCTCATCCGTACCAGTCCCATAACCTTTCTCCCCCTACTCCTACTCCGCATCCTCCTCCTCCTCCTCCTCATCCGCCTCCACCTCCTCCTCATCTCCCCCCCCCATCCCCCCCCCCCCTCATCAGCAGCATCAGCATTATCAGCATCAGCAACAGCAGCATCAGCATCATCAGCATCAGCATCAGCAGCACTATCATCAGCATCAGCATCAGTATCAGCATCATCAGCATAATCAACAACATGCTCATCATCAGCATCAGCAGCATCATCATCATCTGCAACATTATCGCCAGCATCATCATCCGCAGCATCATCAGCATCATCATCGTCACCATCATCATCATCGTCAGCATCATCATCAGCGTCATCATCAGCATCACCATCATCATCCGCCTCCTCCTCCTCATCATCCTCCGCATCTTCCATCCTTCCTCCTCCTCCTCCTCGTCCTCCTCCTATTCCTACTCTTCCACCTCTTCCTCCTACTCATTCTCCACTTCCTCCCTAGCCTCCTCATCATCATCATCATCCTCTTCCTCCTCCTCCTCGTCCTGGTTCCCCCCTCGTCGTCCTCCTCCTCCTTATCCGCCTCCTCCTCCTCTTTCTACTTCTTCTCCGCATCCACATTACTTATACTACGTCCATCATTCCCCAATTAAAATGTGCCTTAGAGTTCTCACGGGGGGGGCCTGGCGCCAGTGTCGCCAGATTCCAAAGGGTTCCGTGGTCCTGTTTCCTTACAAGGGGGTCCCTGGGGTTGCTCGGTGATGTTTCCTTACAGTGGCTGTCACTGGGTTCCTTGGTCTCGGTTCCTTGGTTCATTGCCCTGGTTCCTTGCAACCTTCATGGGGTTCCTTAGTCTTGGTTATGTGGTTCGTGGGTTGTTGGTCGATGTTCCGCGTTTCATTGAAATTGGATCATTGGTTCCTTAGTGGTCTTGGTGGTTTGGGTTCCTTGCTTCCTTGGTCTTGGTTTCTTGGCACTTTGGTCTTGGTTCCTTGCTACTTCGCCACGCACTGCCAAGCAATGCCAAGCAATGCCATATGCCAAGCAATGCCAAGAGATGCTACGCAATGCCAAGCAATCTGCCAAGCAATAGGCCAAGCAGTGTGCCGAGCAATGTGCCCATGCATTGGGAAAGTATATCTTAGTTGGGCTCGCCCCGGGCTCATGTGTCAGACTATCATGATGAATGGTATCATCAGCCTGTCATCATTTACGTTCGCAAGTGGGCTACTACTGTTACTCGTCCTCCACTTTCTCCACATCCACCCCTCCTCCTCCACCCTCCTCCTCCTCCTCCTCCTCCTCCTCCTCCTCCTCCTCCTCCTCCTCCTCCTCATATTCCCTACTCTCTGACTATTCCCTCCTCTTCCAGGGTCTCTTCCCTCATCCTTCTCCTCCTCGCCGACGACAACGGCCTAACGAAGACGACGACGACGGCGCAGCCACCGACAACAAAGGCGACGACGATGACGACGACGCCGCCGCCGATGCCGACGTCGTCGTCGTCGTCGTCGTCATCGTCATCGTCGTCAGCGGCGGCGGCGGCGGCCTGCTCCTCCCCGTGCTCGTCGGCCTCGTACGTCCGCGGCGGCCCGTATGTCCGCGGAGGCTCTGCGGGGGCGGAGTCGTACGGCGCGAGCGAGGACTCCGCGGGGCCGTCGGCGGGCCCCTCCGCGCGGCAGCGAGGGGCAACGACACAGGCAGCGCGGGCAATGAGACTGCACGGCACGGGTGCAGGGGCCCGGGAAGGCCATGTCGGTACCTTCGAGCGGGGCGCGGCCAGCGAAAGCAGCCCAGGATGGGCCGAGGGTGCAGGATTCAGGGCAACATCGGCAAGCCGCTCACCCTTACTGTGCGCGTTGTCTGTAGGGGAGGCGGAGCTTCGAGGTTCGAGGCTGGAGGTTCTCGGGCGCTGTCGCCGGCTCTCTCGGCGGCTTTTCGGCTTCGGGATGCCTTCCAGCGGCTGCACCTCGCCGAGGGCGTTCCCAGGGGTCTCGGATTATCCCGAATGGCCGCCGCAAATCCGAGTTATGACCTGAAAACTACCAGGAACGGAACGGAACGCCTGTGCGGGCATGCGCCTGGGCCCCTCAAGGGCGAGGCGGGTGAGGCCATGGCCTCGCATGAGAAGCTGCGCGCGTCGGGGGTCTACTCAGGACAATGCGTGCTTCAGGAGCTGATTTCCCCGATGGTCACTGAAAACCACCAGGAGGCCAACTCAGGGGGGAGAGCAGCGAGCTGGGATCGGCGAGATGTTGCCCACAGCTCGGCGACCCGCCCCTCGAGAGCGAGGCCAAAGGCTCCCGGGCGGGCTGAGGCCCTCGGGCCCTCAGCTGCACGGAACGGGCGGTTGGGGGCCGATGCATCCCCCACCGAGTCCATCCCCCCCCTGCAGTCAACCCGTGTCAGAAGGGTGCACGATTACAGGGCAGTTTTCAATACGTAGGATTTTTTAAAATATGGGAATTTTAACAAATGATTGATGTATGAATGAATGTATGCCTGAACTCAGCGCTGTTTTTCATACTAAATCCCTGCATTTGTTGTACATGATCCGCACGCGGAGCATGTATCAAAAACGGCACTGTAGGATGCCAGGGCCTTGGAAGCCCATCTCGAGGCTTTCCAGGCGGGGCGCGGCCAACGAGAGTGGCCCAGGATGGACCGAGGAGGCAAGGCTGCAAGGGTACCCTTGGGAGGGCTGCCCATCCCTAGTGTGCGGGTTGACTGCAACGCTGCCCCCGACCTCTGACGAGGGCGGGGGGGGCTCCCTTCGGCTGCACGCGGAGTGTGGCCCTTGGGCCCCCAGCTGCACTGAATGGGCGGTTGGGGGGTCGATGCATCCCCCACTGAGCCTATCCCCCCCCCCCAAACGTTGCCTCGAACCTCCGAAGAAGGTGAGGGGCTCCCTTCGGCTGCACGCGGAGACTGGCCCAGTAGGCAAGAGTGGCTTTGGGTGCGCGGCTCTGAGGGGCCGCGGGGGGGCCTAAAATCCAAGCGGGCAGGCCCGTGCTGGGTCAGCCCCCGTGGACCCGCACCAGAGGTCATCCCAGCGAGAGGCTACTATCTTCCGCGAAGCCGAATCCGAGGCCTCATGGTGGTGTGCTGCCATACATATGCCTCCCAGACGGGCTCCGAACAAACGGCGTCGGAGGATCGCGCCGCGTCGCCAATGCCTCGCCGATGCATCGGCGACGTCGGCGACGCAGATGCGCCGTAAGCGTGGAGAAAATCGGGCTCCGCATCGAGCCACCACGGCGATGCAGCAGCGATGCGGCGCGATCCTGCGACCCCCGCTACTCGAGCCCCGTCTGAGATCTGAGAGGCGTAGAATACAGGAACGCTGAACAAGGGACGAGGCCTCCTCCTCCTCCTCCTCGTCCCCCTCCTCCTCCTCCTCCTCCTCCTCCTCCTCCTCCTCCTCCTCCTCCTCCACCTCCTCCTCCTCGATGTTCAGAGGCCACGGCGAGCCTCGACCGCGAGCAGGCCAGGCGGTCCTGTGCTTCAGCCCCTGGGGCGGGGGGGGGCTCGGGGAGGTCCGCCACTGGGGGGGGCCCGGGCGGTGTGCCCCGGCGGAGCGGCGGCGGTGTTCAGGCCAGACAAGCGCGCTCCACCACTCGCAAAGTGGCGCTGCACTCGCAAACGGCATGAACCCACTGCATCTAACGAACGGGCTCCATTGCATCGAGGCAAACATTGTGACGTGTTGACCCCTGAGAGGAGGCGTTTTGCGGATCTGCTGACACGGGTCAGTGCAAACCTGGGTCAGTCGGGCTCTGCAGGCTCCTGCAAGATCCTGCAAGACCCTGGACGCAAACCTGGGTCAGTGCGCCCTGGCTCTGCAGGCTCCTCCAAGATCCGGCGCCCTGGCCGACCCCTGCTTGCTGACACCCGCGCCAAGGTTCCCCGATCTGCGAGAAGTGGAACGCGGCGGGCGGCAGCTGCTCCCTCCGCGGACCTCGGGCACGAAGCGCATCTTCGCGTCGGAGGCGCCGCACCTGGGGGCACCGGGGGGCGGGGAGGGGCAGGGCAGGCCGGCAAACGACCTGCCCCGCCGCTGTCGGCCACGACGTCCTGGCCAGGTCGCAGAGGCACTCGCAGAGCAGGTGCGGTGCGGCAGCTGTCGGGGCAGCAGCTCTCTCAGCCAAGCGAGGGTGCTGGTTCACCCGGAAGACATCAGTGTCGCGCCCAAGCTGCTGCAGTGACAGACGGACCGACGCGATGAGGCATGCAAGAGCAGCGGCAAGAGGAAGAGAGAGACAGAGAGAACGACAGAGACAGAGACAGAGACGGAGACAGAGAGAGAGAGAGGGAGCGGGAGGGGAGGGGGAGGGGAAAGCAATAGCGCAACGCCGTCTGTGTCCCGCCAATAGGGTCCCGTGCACGGCATGGTCGCGGGTGTGGGGCCGATGTTGTCCGTGGGGTCCCCCCCGCAAGGGCCAGCTCATGGGTAAGATCCCGCTCCAAAGGGCCTGCACACAGGGTGGTCGCGGGGGGTCCCGCCGTTGTTGACGACGGTGTCCTGCCCGCGGGAGCCAGCTCGTAGAGTCTTGTCCAAAGGGTTCTTCTCGTAGGGCGCACTGCCTTGGATGCCCTGCATGCTGGCGGTTGCTGGTTGTCCACAGGGTCCCGCCCAACATACGGCCGGTTCGTATCGAGATGACTTGCGCGTTGGCTCCTGACACCAGGTGGATCGTTCAACCTTGAACGATCGCAGCTTTCCGACAGCGCCGCTCATTAGACACCAAACGATCTCCAACGCAGACTCTCTGCCGTTCCGACCGCACTCGAGCGGCGGCTCGACCTGGCCGACGCGAAAAAACCTGAATACTAAAATGTGGTGTCTCACTTTTGCCTCCGCCGCCTTCTACTGGCATTCCTCCAACGGGCCCGCCGCCGTTTTACTTCCACCGGCCTTCCGCCAGCTTCTTACACTCATCGTGCTACCATGAGGAAGGCTAGATAAGGAACGAACCCCTCTGAGGCCCAAAGAGCGCCTGGGTGCACGAGGAGCACTGGTGGGACGGACGGAAGGAGCAGCGACCCCGTCCAGACAAGAATTGCTCCTTCTCTTCGCGCCTCGGCTGTACACGACGAGGCTCTTTCTCGACCGCCTCGACTCCGCGGCACGGCCCGCCTCCCTGAGGGAAGCCCGCACAGGGCGATTGTACCGCCGTGGCTGGTGCCCGCCGCCGCCGCCAGCGCAGACCCGCGGCTGCCCGCCGACGACCGCCGCTGCCAACGCGGCCGCCGCGCCCTGCTCCTCACCGCTCCTCCTCCTCCTCAACCTCCTCCTCCTCCTCCTCCTCCTCCTCCTCCTCCTCCTCCTCCTCCTCCACCGCCCCCTCCTCCTCTTTCTGCTCCCTCCTTCCCTCCCTCCCCCTCGTCCCTCCTCCTCCTCCTCCTCCTCCTCCTCCTCCTCCTCCTCCTCCTCCTCCTTCTCCTCCTCCTCCTTCTCCTCATCCTCTTCCATGTCTTTTCCTTCTGAATAACTTCTCCCTCTCGCATCCCGAGGCCAGTTTTTGGGGCGGGACAGGCGTTTCGCCTGAGACATCCCCACCATTTATGACCCTGAAGCTTAAAATTGACAACAGCTTCACAGATGAAGGGCGGGTCGCTTTCAAAATGCGGCTTTCGCCTTAGCGCCACGCACATTCGTTTTTTAATGTGCATGGGTTTCACGGATTGAATGCGGGTGGTGTTCAAAATGTGGCTCTTGCTTTAGCGCCCCGCACATGCGTTTGAAACAATTGTACGAGCTTCACGGATTGAGGGCGGGTGGTTTTCAAAATGTGGCTCTTGCATTAGCGCCGCGCACATTCGTTTGAAGAAATAAACGAGCTTCACGGATTGAGGGCGGGTGGCTTTCAAAATGTGGCTCTCGCCTTAGCGCCGCACAAAATCGTTTTGAACAAATTGCAACAGTTTCACGGGCCCTCATGATCAACGTACCAGAAATGGTGTTTTGGAAGGATTCGGGATTTTGTGGGTGTAACAGTTCCGTTGGTTTGCGGTGTTGAAGTCCCAGGAATGGCGTTATGGCACGATTCAGGATCGTCAAGACGCGTGGCGTTGGAATCCCGAGAATAGTCGTAAGTCGTCCGTTGTCGGCGTCGAGGTCGTCATCGTCGTCGTCGTAGTCGTCGTCGTCGTCGCCGTCGTCGTCATGCCAACCACCAGCATCCGCGGCGCCCCGGATCGGCGGCACTAGCCAGAGGACATTCAAATCTTAACACACTGAAACGTAACCGTTCCCATCGGTTGCACGGTTGGGGCGATTGCTTCTCGAAACAGGGCTCTCGCTGCACACACCGTGAAACTGTCTGGTCCCAGCTGGTCGCCATGTTTGCAACTCGAACAAAACCAGTGCACGCAGCTCCAATTCAAAAGGGGGCACCAGCCGGAATGGCAGGCACAGAGGGCGCGCGTGCTTCCAGGGAGCGCTCCCTGCGGTGAACACAAAGCCCCGCAGGGACTCGTGAGGAAGGCCCTTTGGGAAGGCAGGGTGCGTTGTAGTTTCGTGGATGGTTCCTTGGTTTGCGCTGATCCGCCTCCTCCTCCGCCTCATCTTGTTGCTCGGCAGCGACTAGCTACACGCAAAAGCGACCCAGGCAAGAGTGACCTTTGGTGCGCGGCTTCAGGGGCCGAATGAAAACGCGCACGCCAGTGCTGGTGGGACCGCTGTGACCACTGGATGAAGGCTCAGCTTCTCGTGTAGCCGAAGCGAGTGACGCAGCATCCTCGCGGCAAACGTAGGCAAGACGCCGAGAAGCAAGCAGGCGAAGGACGAGAGCCCACGGGCGTGCGCCTGGGGGTCCGAGCAGGGGAGGAGAGCCACCTCTATGTGGTATACACCAGAGACGGCCTCATCCAGGCCTCGCGGAAAAGCGCTGGGGAGGGGAATGGCCTGGACCCGACCATACACCGAAACTCCTCCTCCTCATGCGCCGCCGCCGCGGCCGCCGCCGACGCGGCCGCGGCACCAATTGTCCCACGCCGCCTTCCGCTTCTCGCACGCCAGCGCCTGGCGGGCGGGGGGGGTAGAGAGAGAGGGGGGGAGGGGGAAGGCGGAAGAGTATGAGGGTCAGCTGGGAGCGCTCGCGCGACATCTCACGTCCTATCCCTCCCTCACATCCCTTCCCATTGCACTAATGTATCCTCAATCCGCCGACGCGTGACATAGCCGACCTAACACTGCAAGAATACCCCACCGTGTTATGCGCAATAGGAGAAAGGGGGGCTGCGTACATAGGCGAGCAGGAGGATGAGCAGGGGAAAAGGAGGAGGACGAAAACGAACGAGGACGAGGACGAACAGCAGCATCAAGAACTGGAGTGGAAAGAGCGAAGGAGCAGGAGGGCTTGAGGAAGGCGGGTGAGGGGAAACGAGCGGGGCAACAACAATGAAAAAGAACTTGGATCCAGAAAAGTGGCCTGCGCTGGGGCGAGAGCGCCAGTGTGAATGACGGGAGCACGCGCCGATCCGACGATGAGGCCCACGCTGCAGCGGGAGCACCATGTTGAAACACCGAGAACAAGTGCACTAAAAACAAAACAACTGTCCGAGCAAAAAGCATCGAATTGGAATCTTGCGTGTAAAACCACAGAACGTGAAGTGAGCCAGGCATCGTCTGTGCAGTCTGGACAGAGTCAGGGGAGTGAAAAGAGTATATAGCTGTCAGAATGCGCAAGTGCGGAGGAAGGGGAGGAGGGTTGAGGGGAGAAGGAGAAGGGAAGAGGTGGAGGGACGAGGGACGAGGACGAAGACGAGAACCAGGGCAAGGAGGAGGAGGAGAAGCAGCACGAGGAGCGGGAGCAGGGGTCAGAAGGCCACCATCGTCGTCGTCGCCGCCGCCGCCGCCGTCATCGCCATTGTCGTCGCCGCAGCCGTCGTTGCCGTCGGCGGCGGCGTTGTCGTCGCAGGCGTCGTCGGCGTCGTCGCGGTCGTTGCTGCTCCCGCGGGGCCGCGCAGCCTGGACGCGGGCGCCTCCGTGCTCCTGAGCGCGGGCACCGCGACGCTCCCAAGGTGGCTCCTCCCCATCACCGTCTTTCTCATCCCAATCATCCTCCTCCCTGGAACCTCCCTCCCTCGCTCCTCCTCCTCCTCCTCCTCTTCTTCCTCCTCCTCCTCCTCCTCCTCCTCCTCCTCCTCCTCCTCCCCCTCCTCCTCCTCATCCTCCTCCTCATCCTCCTCCCCCTCATCTTGCCTGGAACATCCTCCTCCTCCTCTTCCTGTTCGTCCTCCTCCGCCTCCTCCTCCGCCTCCTCCTCTTTTTCTTTCCGTTATTGATAACTTCTCCCTGTTGCACCCCGAGGCCAGTTTTGAGGGCGGGCCGGGCGTGTCGCCTGAGACTCCCCCACCATTGATGTTTCTGACGCTTAAACAGTGACAACAGTTTCACTGTTGGAAGGCGGGTAGTGTTCAAAATGTCACGCTCGCCTTAGCGCCGCGCACATTCGTTCGAAAAATGTGAAAGATTTTCACGGATTGGAAGCGGGTGGTCCTCAAATGTGGCTCTCGCCTGAGCGCCGCGAACACTCGTTTTCAAAGTTTGCAATAATTTCACGGATTGAAGGCGGGTTGTGTTCAAAATGTGGTTCTCGCCTTAGCGCCGAGCACACTCGCTTTGAAAATGTGCCAGAGTTTCACGGATTGCAAGCGGGTGGTCCTCGTTGAAATTCCAGAAATGGCGTTCTGGCACGATTCTGGATTGTCAAGACGCAACAGTCAGGTTGATCCGTGGCGTTAAAAACCCGAAAAAAACAATGTTTTGGCATGCTTCCGGGTCTTCAAACGATTGTCTTCCAACAAGGCAATCCCTGCAATGGAAATGTATCGTTGTTAGGGGCCTATGAAGAGGGAACTTGGAAGGAGGGTGAATTCCAACATCGTTAACGACTCTTGGGTTTGCACTCCTCCTCCTCCTCCTCATTTTCCTCCTCCTCCTCCTCCTCCCTCCTCCTCCTCCTCCTCCTCCTCCTCCTCCTCCTCCTCCTCCTCCTCCTCATCCTCCTCCTCCTCCTCCTCCTTCCTCCTCCTCCTCCTCCTCCTCCTCCTCCTCCTCCTCCTCCTCCTCCTCCTCTTCCTCCGCATATTGCCGGGGGGGTCCTCCTCCTCCTCCTCCTCCTCCTCCTCCTCCTCCTCCTCCTCTCCTCCTCCTCCTCCTCCTCCTCCTCCTCCTCCTCCTCCCTCCTCCTCCTCCTCCTCCTCCTCCTCCTCCTCCTCCTCCTCCTCCTCCTCCCCCCCCCTCCTCCTCCTCATCCTCCTCCACCTCCTCCTCCTCCTCCGCCTCCCCTCCTCCTCCCTGGGATCGCCTCCTCCTCCTCCTCCTCTTCCACCTCCTCCTCCTCCTCCTCCTCTAGTTCCTCTAGCTCCCAGAAAGCATGGTCGGCTCGACTAACCACGCCCACCTACTCGAAGCAGGATCCGTCGCGAGATCGAGCGCCTTTGCCTCGCACCTCGGGGCGCGACAGATATTTTAAAGAGCGGCCCCACCAGAAACACTTTAGTCCTCGGGGGCGGCCGCCGAAAAACCAGGTTCGGCCCCCACGGACCCGGACCAGGGGCCGAAGCACGCGAGAGAGGAAAAGGCAGGCCCCAAAAAACACCAGACTGAGGCTCCCGACCAGCCAGAAGACGCCCCAAGGTCGCTTTCCCCAGACGGGCCGAATCCCTGGGCCGAGAAGTCCAGGGGCGACACTGCCTGGCCAGGAGGTGGGTCTGTCGTCGGGCATACGCCCCACACAACTTACAGAAGACGATCGACTCGTCCCTCCCAAGGGCCCAGCCGTCCCCACTTCGCGCCCCGCACCCACCCCGAGTCACCCACAGCCGATGGGAGGGATGGGCGATCGCCGCGGGCATAGGAATTCCTGGACACGGGCGGCAAACAATCCTCGATCGGAGCCAATTCGTGGCCCACACCTGCTACAGCCCCAGGCCCACCCAAGACACCCCAAGGCGTGCCATCGGGATCCGAAACCAGGGTGAGAACCTGAGGCGGGCACGGCGGGGGGGGCAATCCGATCGGGCCATCCCGCGCCAGCTGCCTTTTTCAGCACCGCGCCATGGTGGCGCAAGAGCAGCGCGTCGCGGCGACCGCCGCCGAGCTCACGCGCCTGGCGAGCTCCGCGACCTCCTCGAAGTCGGCGCGCAGCTGGGCCCCCAGCTTGGCCCTCTTGTCGGCCACGTGGTTGCCGATGTGCCAGTGGGCCATTGTGCCCGCGCGCTCCGCCGCGGCCCAGCCGGCGCGGGCTCTCGCCCAGCAAAGCTTGAAGCGCCCGCCCAAGTCGTGGGCCCGAAACCAGATCTCACTCCAAAGCTGCGCGCACTTGCATTCGGGGCTCCTGCGCCAACCAGGCCCCTGGCGAAAATCATCCACCACGTTCTTGCAGTCCGCCTCGGGCAGCCTCGCGCAGCACCCGAACCAGGGCGCAGAGCTCAGCAAAGCCGGTCTCCTGCACAAGCCCAGGCACAGTGCCCATCAGGCCGCCGACTATGCACCCATCCTCCGCGACCACGATGCCCGCCCAGCCTGTCCTCGCAAGCTCCACGAGCTGATAGTGCCCGATAAGCCATCGACGCCATGCGGTCGGCGCTGATAGTGCCCGAGAAGCCGCCATGCCGTCGGACCGCCCGCTCGAAGACACAGTTCGCCCACAGCGGGGATGGGCGCCGCCCCCAACCCAAGCGGGACGAAGCACCTCGCGACGCCTGTGTCCGCGATGCCGGCAGCAGCCCCCGCCGCGCGCACCTCTTCCAGGCCCATGTCCCTCGCCACCGTCGCCGCGCCCTCGCAGGCGAAGAGCTCGCGGCGGTGCGAGCCCAAGCCAGCACCGCACCATCGGCAGCCAGCCGAGGTGGCAGCTCGCTCAGCGCACGGGTCAGTCTGGGAGACCAGCCCGCCGCGCGCCGGACTCTCGACCAGCGCGACCTGCTCCGCGTCTCCCCGCGCCCTCAGCACGTCCAGCGCCGCCCGCGCTGGGCACATCGTGGGCGGCCCTGCCAGCTGCCCGTGGAAGTGCGCGGGCGCCGCCCGCGGCAGGGACCCGTGCACTCCCCGCTCGACCGGCGTTCTGACCAACTTCGGGCCGTGGGACTTCAGGTCGTTCGACTCGCCCCTGTCGGGGGCCCACACATCTCACGACTCCGCGGTCCACCCGACGCGGCCGAGACTGAGGCGCAGCACCTGCTGGCCCCGTGACCTGACCCCAGCGGGGTGGCCGCGCAGCCTCGAGGACCACGCACATGCTGGCCCCAGGCCTGAGCTGGGCGAACACCGCCTTGGCGAACACCGCCTTGGCCCACGCCACCAGTGCCAGGCAGTTCGCCACGCAGGCGGGGCCCTGACGCCAGCCTGGCCCAAGCTGGATGGCGAACTGCAGCGCCACGCACCTCTTGCCACACCCGCCCGCCACAGCCCCGCCATTGATGGCCCCGGCCTGGTCGAGCACTTTGGCCGGCAACCCCCGCGCGCGGGCGCCGCGGGGGGTGGCGGCGCGGCCGCTGCGCCTAAAAATAGCCCCCAGCTTGGCCACCGAGAGGCGCCCCAGCCTCCCTCGAAGCACTCCCCGCGATGTTGCGCCATCGAGCGTGAAGTCGATCCCGGGTTCATGGCTTCGCGGCGCAGCCTGATGTCCCACTTCCCGAGGCGGTGGGCCGCCCTCTCGCCAGCTTCCACGTCGCTAGATACGATCACGCACTTGGTGACCGAGATGATGAAGCTGCCCCCCCCCCCAGCCTTTGACAGAGCCACCTGGTCGCGCCGAAGATGCCGAACTCCACCTCCCGCAGCCGACCGTAGACCGCCAGGGCGACGTCGTCCACTACCAGGCAGGCACGGATGTTCAGCCAGCACTGCACGAGGAGGTCCATGGCCGACAGGAGCAGGACCTGCAGCAGGGTCGCGGCGAAGGCGCAGCCCGCGACGATCGAGGTCCCCAGCGAGAGGGCCTCGGTCACCCACACTCGCCCGGACAAAGCCTGCGCCGCCGCCCACCATGTGAGTGGGGGATGAGCTCCAGG